ACTCTATGTAGCCCATTATAGTAGTTTCCATTCTCTCTTCCATTCCTTCATTCCTCGCTAACCCAGGGTAACCTCTATATGCCCCCAGTTTCCACGTTCCATGTTCTTATCCATTTGATTCTCCACTATTGGGGGGATCATGTCCCTATACAAACCCAATATACCATACTATACCATACTCTACCATGATGTATACTAATATGCCACAAGATACAGTTCATTCCCAGCTAACGGACACACAAAAAGTTCCCAACCCCGGACCCCCAAATCCTAAATCACAAGGCCGTGTCGTAAGCCTTCAACCCTCAACTCGAAATCCTAAACCCTGAACCCTATGTCCTTAATGTTAAATCTTTAGCCCTAAAGCCTCAATCTTAGATCGTAGACCCTGAGCCCCAACCCTCAGCCCTCAGCTCTTAACCATGAACCTTAGCCCCCGCCACCCTAAACCTTAAACCCTCACCACACTGAGGTACGGGGAGGAGGCTTGGCGCCTGACCATCGTCCCGGATGCCCAGCCGCCTGCTTCTTGGGCTTGAGGATTTAGGATTTAGTGTTCGGGATTCAAGGTTTAAGATCTAGGGCTTAAGGTAAAGGATTTAGGTTTAGGGTTTAGGACTTAGGCTTTAGGATTCAGGGCTTGGGGTTTGGGACTTTGGGTTTATGTGTTCCGCAGTTTCTGGAGTAGCCCTGGTATAGTATCTATATATGCCGTGGGCAAACTATGCGAATTTCACACATAATTTTACTTCCAGCTGGGAATATCTCTAGATTGACCTTCTTTCACGACAGTAATTTCTTCTAGCCTGCCTAGCATAGTGCTTCTTATGGATGGCCTGTACGGTGTCCTTCTACTGAGGACTTTATCTTTGGATATATGTACGGACTTTTATTTCGAGAAAAGAAAAGCGCCGACGTGTACGTTCAGATGTTGTGTTTGGCCGGTGTAAGGTTACATACCCATATATGGGCGGTGTAAGGTTATATACCCCTATATATCCCTATATAACCCATATATCGCTCTATAAAGGCACCCACGGCAGCAAGTAACTTGTGACTTTTGTTCCTGTGGATGTGGGCGCTTGCCAGGATGCCACGCTTGTCCGCCCAACCAGTGACGCTCGGGATTCCCCAAGGCAACAGCTCCAAACATGCCGACCCAAATAGTAGGGTCCCTTTAAAGGGGTTATAGGGGGAAATATGGGGTTTGGGGTTTAGGTCCAAGGACCCAAATAACAGGGCTCTAGGACCAAAATACTATGATATTATTGGTATGTGGGCCCTGAAACCCTGTTATTTGGGTTCTTGGACCCTAAGAGATGGCGACAGCCCGAAAACAGAGCAGTTTCAACAACGTGCATGCATTCTGAGTCCTGAACCCGCAACTTGAAATACAAACCCGACACAAAACCCTAAGTGATAAGGTCACAGGCAAACTTCTGCACCGGTGTGCTGCGCTAAAGATGCGGGCCGCCTGGGAATTCATTGCGCCTGGCGTGTTGTTGGGAAGGTTTTTTGTTCGTAGAATTTCGCAAGGCTAGTTGGCATGCGCCAGCCATGTTCTAGCCGGAATTCAAGCACGCGGAGCTATGTATCATACCTGGCCCATCCTTGCTAAACGCCCTCTGGATGATTGTCCCCACCCTCACTGGACATAGAACAGAACAGTCAATGGATGTGGATTGTATTCATTTGCCCATATATTGTGCTGTCAATGTTTGAGGATGCAGCAGAATGGAAGGGCAGTACAAGGCAAGCCCTGTGGGTCTAAGAACTCAATAGTTGTAAACGCTGTCGCGCACCCGACCTCAGCTGTTGGGGTGCACAGAAATTCCTCGCAGACCACGTGGCCACACTCGGGATTTGGGGGGGGGGAGTGGGGTGGGGTGGTCTCGATGGGTAAGGCACAGCTGCCTGCTGTCTGGGATGTTAGCCTTAGCTGAAAAGACCACGATGTGCCCTAATGCTTGGTTTCGTCCACCCAAAAGCTCATTTCTGGTCAGATCCCCAAAGCCCTCAATGCTCCGTTCCTACATTATCCCAATACAAACCCCAATATATACCCTATTATACTATAGTAGTTTCCAGTTTCCGTTATCCCTATATAACCCTAATACTACTATACACCCTCGGAATGATGCCTACACTTCCTGATCCCTAAGCTCAAGCAATTTCCTTGAGCACTCAACCTCAATTCATTCCTTCCACCCCCCATGTCACCTGGTGCTTTGTAAAGAGTGAGGGAGTGGATACATGTAGCAATCCTACATAATGCCCAACTCGAATCCTGATAGCCCCTCCAGTCCTTCCCTACTCAGCCCCACAAGTCATCTGTACCCTAAACCCTATAGTCCCCCTAAAGTAGATAGAATGTGGGGTATATGGGGATCTTATTATAATATACCCAAAGCCATATTCTATCTACTTAACTGGGCCTAGAAACCCTAAACCCTTAGGCATCGTTGCCGGGTGTGGTGGAGCCGTGGACCATACGTGAAAAGGCAAAGCGGAAAAGTCGCCCCAACCTCGACCACAAGGCCATTTGCATAAGGTTTGCGGCTTATAAAGGGTTTAGGGCTTAGGGTGTAGGGTTTAGGGGTTTAGGGTTTAGGGTTTGGGGTTGGTTTGGGGCTCCCAGTAACCTAGATAATAGGCTACTGGGCTATGTAGCTATAATTAGGGTATATAGAACCCAGCTCCTACTACTTGGGTAACTGGGAGCCCTAGGGTAAGGTTTGGGGCTTATAATTGTTTTTTTGGGAATGCTGTAGTCTTCTGCTCTTTTGGTCACCTTTACATGGGTCACAATGTGCTAGGGAGTGAAGCTTACTACAGTTCAGGTTTAGGTTTGCGCTTCTGACGATTGAGTAGAATGGCCTCATATTCTAACAACGTAAACAGATCATCATGCTAAATGTACAGCCGGTTTTGCAGCCATCTTGGCCACTGGCTTATAGTCTAAGAGCTGTCTTTCAAAGCATCTGCATCGGAGGATCCAGGCAGCGGGATTGCGGAAATTGTGGACATCTTTCAGGGTGATGTATAAGCTTTGATCAGGCATTGCCACAATTCTGCGGAAGAGCTTTAGGGACCATATTGGGAAATCTAAGTAGCCTTAGCGACTTGTGGCGATATGCTTGGATTATGAATTATTATACGCGTTCTAACATATGATATGGAGTAGGAGTTTGGTGCTCAGGTTTAGAGCTGTCTGAGAATTGTCCGATGACAGCTAGGATCTAGAGTTGAGGGTGTATGGAGCTTAGAGATCAGGACTCATGGTTTGCTTTCCTGATGAAGAAAAGGCCCACATCTGTAGCATCGTCAACTTTCATTTTTCTGGAAGCAGACTACCCTGAACTCTGAATCTTAAACTCTGAATCCTATAACCAAAACCCTAAACCCTAATTCCCTATTCTGGAGCCACTCGGCTTGTTACAAGGGTCTGGTGGTCCAGGGTTCCTAGCTGGGGTCAGTAGGGAATTAAGGGAATATGTTATGTAGGGATTAGTCCCCCTTAAGTAGATAGGATATGGGGTATATGGGGATCCTATTATAAGCTACCCAAAGCCATAGTCTATCTGCTTAAGGGGCCTATATATTAAAGGGATTCTCTTCCCTTATGCCCTAGTAATTCCCAGCAAGGTTCAGGGGTTCTGGGCTCAGGACAAGCGTGCCCTCAGCAATGCAAAAAGTAAGCGACGAGCAAGGTCGAAAAAAAGGTATATAGTCCCCCTCAAGTAGATAGACTGTGGATTTGGGTAGATTAAAATAAGATCCCTGTGTACCCCATATTATATCTACTAAAGGCGGACTATACTCTCTTAAGCAGATGTGGCGCCCATGTGGCCGTACAGAGACTGGCACATTGCAAGGAGGCAGCTTGGGATTTAGGGTTCAGGGTTTAGGACATGAATCCCTGTGTTTTTCACCCTTACAACCGCCGCTCAAGTCCTGCAAAGCCCAGCCCCACTCAATGTCTCCCCTCAAGATATGCTCACCATTTTCTTGAGGAACCCTATAAACACAAACCATAATATAGGCGCCTAAATAATTTCCAACATTATGGTTCCATATGCCTTGTACGAATACATGTATATGGTACCTCAAGTGGACCTCAAGATGATATTGGTAAATATTCAGGCCCCTGTAGTAGCATAACTTGACCCCAGAAGGCTGTTTTTTGAACCCCACCCACCATCCCTGTATGCGTCACCCGTTTAGATTCCCCATATAGCCTTTTTCCAAGATTTAGCCCTACATACCCCTAAGCCCCAAACCTTTGTGGGCTGCACAGTCTGAGAGGCCATAGCGGAGGAGGAAGAGGCTCGATTTCAAAATGAGCGCTAGGATCTAGGGTTTAGGGTTTGGGATTTGCCAAGGGTTTACCCAAAGATCCTGTCGAGTCTCTTTGGGTTGATGATGTTGTTTGACCCAAAGGATGCTATGTAGTTCCTCTTTGGGTTTATTGCATTTTGAGTAAGTGAGTATCGGCTATTGCCCATAAGGCAACTACATGGGAGGTTCTGGGAAGAAGCACCTGTTTTCTTTTGAAGGTTTGGGCTTATGCTCCCCAAGCAGAAGTGGGGTCTGAGAAGGCGCCGGACAGGTAAGCGTGCTCTTGAACGCGGTGCAGGGTTTAGGGTGCGCCGGCCTTCCAAAGGCTTGTTCTAGATTGTCTTGATTTCAGGGCTTCGGTCAGTCAGGCTTCTGTGGCGGAAAGTACCATTGCAAAAGCGATTTCATAACGACGGAACCCCCAGTGGAATTCATTCAACGTTGACCTAGGTCATTGACGGTGCTGGTGAGGCTGCAGAGACTCGGAAATCCAAAATAAGGAGCATTTCGATTCCGTGATAAGGCTTAAGCTGTTCTGGGGTTGGATTTGTTTTGTTCTTTGTGTATCCCACCCGCTGACCTGCTTCAGCGGCGAAGGCAACCCTAAATACAAAGCCCAACCTAAATCCCCAAGACACTACTGAGACCGCTGCATCAAGGAGATGCCGAAGAGTCCCTCATTGAGGCCGCGGCCCGATGGGGCAGACGGACCTGGGAAAGCCGACGCAAGCCCTCTGCAAATCGAAATCCCGGATCGGCAAGGCAGGTTGACACACTTGAAATGGTACGGGTTCCTGATTTTGAGGGCCAGGGGACTTTTTGGAGTGTGAGTTTCCTCCGCCTAGTGTAATAGGGAGCCAGAATAAGGCGGCCAAGATCATGAGAAAAGGGATCTTGGGTGGATGAAATGGAGAGATACAGGGAATATCAACATGAGGAAATGCTTGTGACGGCTTTCCACATCAGAGTGGAGGTTCTGTTCTTTGTACGTCCAAAAAATGCCCTGCAGTTGTTTTGGAGGATTGCCACTGTTGATCAGGCATTCCTCATGCAAGTTCCTAAAAACAGTTGAGGATTTGTTTTCATTTCAAATGTGCAAAGGTTTTGATTGGCGTGTATTCTCCGGTTTGTTGGTTCCAGCGGGGCTGGGTAGGGGGGTCTGAGAATTTCTCCTTACCTCAGTTCATACAGGCAGCAAGCGGCGTGCCGCTGTGGTCACCCTGGCCGATGCGGCTGCTGAGTCTGCAGAGGATGCACGACGGCGCGATGAGGATGCGTATTTCCCGGAGCAAAACCGGTTACAATGCTCGCTCACGCCCGCCGTCATTAGAGACGTCTGCGCGCACCTAGCCGGCAACTCAGTTTTTCGTGTTTTGCAGTACCCAAGCACAATGAGGCACATCTCCGATGCAGCAATTGCTGTGAATCCGCCGTGGAATGTTCGTGTCGCGAGCGTGGAGGCAGACGCAACCTCAGCGATCCTGGGAAATAGTCACAAGCAAGTGAAGAAAAAATGTCAGAGTAAGCTGATAGCATTTGGGCTTTGGTATTAGTCTGGTCCCCGTAAAGTCATGCATCTGGATTTGGTGTGTGCTGCAAACTGGTGCGTAATAATCTTGCACCCTTTACAGAGGGTTCCAGGAGGGATCCTAACAGCGACACTTGGGGCAAAAACCATGACTCATATCCCTAAACCCCCAACCCCAAACCCTAAGCAGTTCTTGCCTTGTTCTACTTCATTTTCCATAAGATTCTCCATCATAGGGGGTACAAAGCCCCAAAGCCCGGAACCCTCAACCCCAAACCCTAAACCCCAAATCCTAAACCCCAAAGCCTAAACTCCAAACCCTAAATCCCATAACTTGCTGAGGCCTTAATGGCCTGGCACTTGACTTCCAGCATCCACGGCTGCTGCCGAGTACCTCTGACACTGGTGACGCTGTGCGAAATGGCATACGCTGGGTATATGAGCCATAGTCAAAGCTCTTCAAAGGGGGATTATATAGGGGATTGTATACGGGATTACTATAGGGGTTATTAAGGGGGATACTAGGATTTTAGATTATGGTTTATATGGGAGTTGCGGCATATCGGGGTGTCAGGGGTTTAGGGCCCTAGATTGTAGGGTTTATGGACAACATAGTCAAATGGAAAGGAAAGTGTACCGTGACATGAAACTGAAGCCATGTTGTGATTCATGGGGTTTAAGGCCAGGTACTGATATACTTACGCAGCCCGAAACATGTATGTTATGGCTAGGGGTCAGAGGTGTGCACTTAGTTTTGCGAGGGTTAGGTTTTTACATATCAGTTACGATAGCGACGAAGATGGCTGAAATGCAAGCACTCTCCGCAATGCCTTTGAGCAAGTTTCAAGGTGTTCAGGTGAGGAAGTTCCAGATGATACTCTATGGGATGATGGAGATGACACGGGCCAGGTACAATTGCAACTACTCTTTTCGATGCCAGTGTTCGCAACACGTTCGAGCGTGAGACTGAAGAGTCCGTTATCATGTCTGAATGCCTGAGCTCAGCTTTTGAAACGAAGCAATCCGATAAGAATCCCGAACATACGCTCTTTTCCCATATGTCCCTTGCTGTGCCATGCATGTGTTGCTGATGTAAGGACTGAGCGTGGAGGCAGGGATCTGAAACCACATTGCCCTTGAGGTGAGAGGAAATCCCATCTAGGTTTATGGCCCCCCTTTTAAGTAGGTAGAATATGTAATACCTCAATATCATAATAAGATCCCCATATACCCCAATAGTCTCTCTACTCAAGACATAGACTCTAGCTCGTTTATGATAAATATCTGCGGGTGCAAGCCACATGCCTAGGCGCGATGTAGGATTGATATATGGGGCGTTTCCAGAGATCAGGACTCCCTTGTTGGCAGTTCCTATTATATGGGCTAGCATGTTTCGGGCTCAAAGGGAAAACTTGTTTTGGAAACTCCGTTGTCATCCGTGCTGAGCTTGGGTCCTTAACAACTCGAGTTGAAGGCTTGCTTTGTGTTTCTCACTTCTAGCTGCACATGTTTCGAATTTCAAGTTTGTGGTTGCCAGATTGAAGGCCGGCAGTACAGCTTTGTCTTCGTGCTGCTCACGCACAATGATTGCGTGGCCCTCATTGGACGCTACCTGCTCAAGGACGGAGGCAGTGCTTCCTGCAATTTCTCTCACGGCTGTTCCGCCACCCTCCTGTAGCACCTTGAAACAGGTGGAGCTCCCATAGTAGGAGGTTTAGGGTTTAGGGTTTAGGGAGAGAGGGGTCCTTTGTAAGGACTACATACTTCTTCTTTGAGAGTTTAGGTGGGCACGCATCTAGACAAACCTCCCAGAAGCCAGAGGAGATCTCCTTTCTCCCGCTCGAGAAGCCTGACACCCAGACTGGCTTTCCCAAAGTTCCAAGGGTTTAGGGTTTAGGCAGTGTGCTAACTGTTTTGATGCTTTTGTAATAGTATGTGATCCTGTTACATAAGGAATTTACTCTTTTGGAAATCCACTCTTGTTTGTCACGGGCCTCCACGGTCTCCTTCTCCGGACCCAGGACAAATTCAACATTAGTTTTTGCAAGAGACCTTGCGGATGAGGATTCTTTCATTGTCGTCTGAACCCTACCTAGACCTCCCAAACATATATTACAGCTCGATCTCAAAAGAGCGCACATAAATCCTTCTTGTACTTGCGAGGCCTGTAGCCACAACCGAAAATCTTGCTTCAGGCGTAAGTTCTCGGATGCTGTGGACCACGTGGCCACAGCGCTGACCACACGGCATCATGAACTGAAAACTCTGCCCACCGGCTGAAGGGACTCAAGGGAGATGAAGGGAATATGAGCTATAGTCTAAAGTCCTTAAAGGGGGGTTATATAGGGGATTATATAGGGGACTACTCTAGGGGACATTAAGGGGGATACTAGGAGTTTAGACTATGGCTCATATGATGGGGTCTCTGGGGAGATGAAGGGAGTATGAAGGGAGTTTGGAGTGTAAAAAGGCTGAGATAAGAGGGATGATGAAGGGAGTGTAGGGGAGCTCTAGATGGGCTTTATGGGGACAAGTTTAACGGTCTCCCAAATGGGCCAAACGGTAGTTTCCCAAAATAGGGGGACCCCAATATAGACCCCAAAATACTAGAGTGCTTGTTATAGGGACCCCAAAGTGATACCCATAATTTTGGGAAACTCCTAAATGGGTGTTGGAATCATTTCTTCAGTTGTCTAAACCCTCAACCCTAGTTCTCCAGATGCAAAGGCTTCTTGTGACCTGGAAAATCGACAGGGTGCCAACAGATGACCGAGATCCAAGCGGCCTGAACCCCCCTTCTTGCGCCTTGTCTGGGTTGATGTTAACTGTTAACGAATTTAGAACAAGTTACTTAAATAAAGGAACCTTATTATTTACTATATAACCCATATTAACTTAACTTAGTTTAAGTTCCTCAACAACAACCCAGTTGTGGCTCTCCAACTGGATGTTTCCTTGAGTTGTTTTCAGGTGTGTGTGTGTGTGTGTGTGTGTGTGTGTGTGTGTGTGTGTGTGGGTGTGGGTGTGTGTGTGGGTGTGTGTGTGTGTGTGTTTGTTTTCTTGAGACCCCAAGAATTGTGTCCGGTTCGGCGAGATTGTGGACACTGGCTGGGGTAGGTTGTTTTTGTGTACTGCGAATGATACGTGCAAGGATTTCATTTCCCGAATTCGCAATCCTGGCGATGGAAAACAGGGATTATCAGCTTCGACTTTTCAGAGACTATGTTGGATATGTATCAGGCAATCCTAAAGCCTAAGTCTCCCATCTCTCAAAAGACGTGTCCCTGTCTATGCATGAAACGGTAGGCCACGGATGATCAGGATAGACAGAAGTCAGAATTCTGACAAACATCCCAGATACTAGTAACTTGATTAGAAGCAGCTTGGAAGACAGCACACAAACTTGCGGCTTCCAAAGCCCTCTGTAGTTTTCAGATGGAGCGTTCCAAGCCTTAAGAATCTCTTCTACGCACAATCCCCTCCCTTATTCTAAACCCCCCTCCCAACCCCCCACTTCTAATATACAATTTTCCATTATGGTACATTAGAGTATATAAGGAATATTTAATATTAGGGGGTGGCTAATATTAGGAGAAGGGGATTAGTTTTTATGCTCTACATCATGCCTGGCTGAATCATTGTCATCCTCACAGTCCCTTTTATAACTCTCAATGCTCCATCCGTGCGGAGGGTTAGTAGGTGTGAAGGGAACATAATCCCCATATAATCTTAGCTTCAGGAAGTATCTGAAGCATGTGGAGTTCCGGCGGCAGGTACCTGGGACAGCCAACCGAAGCAATCATCGGCCAGCCAGGCCATTGAGAACAGTTTCGTTGTTGTGTGGAGAACTTCTCTGAAGGTTTCCAGGTTTGGCAATCTGGCCTTGTGATGCGGGGCTTATGGCAGTTCCCTAAGCAGGGAACCCCCTGCCCCCAAATACGATAATCCTTATTATAGGGACCCCAAAATGGCATCCCTGTTTTTAAGAAACACCTAAGGTTGTGAGGCATCGCCAGGTGAGGGCTCAGGTTGTATGGCTTTTGGTGGCTTATGCTTCAGGACTTCCGTTGAGGGTTTCAAGTTTAAGGTTTAGGGTTTTTAGGGTTTATAGGGGTTCACTTAGAGTGTAGATCAGCAACAAGCCTATTCTGAGATGCTGAGACCTCCAAGTCATGGAAGCCTACACCGAACCCAAAGAGTCCCCACGCAGATCCCTGACAGGATCAAAAGACTAGATTGGCTTACGCAAACCCACAGTGCCTCTCTGCATATGTTTGGGGATCTAATTTCTAGACCCTTGGAAAGGTCTGTGTACTGGTATTGGCTGAATAAGAACAGGCCGTTACAAAGACCTTGGACCGAATTGAATTGGTAGTGGCCCTCGATTTCCCAGAACCTACCTAGACGACGGTCAGAACTTTGAATGGGTTGTCTCGGGTTGGTTCCCTGCTAGCCCACAGTGATGTGTTGGCAGGGTTCCTGATTTACTGCCTGCCCTCCCATAATGAATACCCCCAAAAGAGTATTGGTACCATCATGTAGTCTAGAAAGTATTCATTATTCAAATGGGGAGCCATGATCAGGCGGAGGGGATTACAGCAGCAACTCTGTGAGATGTCACATTTCATGGGTCTAGTGGCCAGGTCTTGGGGTTGCACGACACCCCCAGCTATGATGAGTCGCATGAAGAGGATTTGCCGGACTTCGAAGAATTGCAAAAAGCAAAATGGTCAGATGCCAAGCGAAGTCAGAGAACATCCACATGAACAAGAGACCGGGAAGCCGCAGAACTGTTTCGGAGCTTTCGGGGCTGGGATCAGTTGAGCATTGAGGCGTGCACGCCAAAATCTTCAGCATGCATATGAGCCATAGTTTAAACTCCCCTATAATAACCCCTGATGGCTCAGACCCTCATATAGGGCACGGGTAGAAGGGCTCAGACTTTCAGTTGACATGAGGATACAGTCCCCTAAAACCTTAAACCTTAAACCCTATTCCAGACCCCTGATTAATAAACCCCACTCCCCTTGGGATTTAAAAAAAACAGGGATCGTAGCTTTAAGGCCCTTAAAAGGAGGGGGGTTATTCGTCATGGGTCTAAATTAACCCCTAAACCCTGAACCCTGAACCCTAAACCCCTAACCCTAAACCCTAAAACTCTAAACCCTAAACCCTGAACCCTAAACCCAGTCGCCCTGACTGGCCTAGAACCCCGGGGCAACTCCAAGCCTTACAAAATTAGGGGTGGGGTAGATTTAGAGTTCAGGATTTAGGGTTTAGGATGTAGGGTTTAGGTTTTAGAGTTAAGGTATAAAGGGGTTTTAGTGCTCATATGGCCCTACAAAATTAGGGGTAGATTAGTTATGTTTAGAGTTCAGGATTTAGGGTTTAGGATGTAGGGTTTAGGGTGTAGAGTTTAGGTATAAAGGGGTTATAGTGTTTATATAGGGAAATATAGGGTATATAGGAGTTGTATAGGGTTTAGGGTTGCCCAAAATTAGAGGTTACATGGGGTTAAAGACGGATAATGGAAAAGAACATGGAAACTACTATTTAGGGTAAGGTCAGGGCTTAGGGTTTCCCAAAATTAGATGTCTTTTTTGGGGGGTCCCCAGAACATGAATTGCAATGCGTTGGGGTCCATATTGGGGTCCCCCTATCTGGCGAAACTACCATATTGCGCTAACCCTAAACCCTAAACCCCAAACCCCCTTTTTCTGGGCAAAATCATCTTCCAGAGTGCGATCTAAGACGGCCCGAAGAAGCGTTTTAGGGTTCAGGGTTCAGGATTTAGGGTTTAGGGTTTAGGGTGAATTTCTCTAGCTGATTCGATTCATATACTTCACTCGAATCCCAATGCTGCACCTCTAGACTGGGCTCGTGCATTTACGGGCCTGCTACTGTAGCTGCGTTTTGGTAGCTCAACAGGCGACGAGCCCACGCACTGGCGAGTACTGAAGCTCTGCTGTAGGCCAGGTCTTATGCAACTGTGACCTGATGAGTAGAAAAAATACAATGTGCATGGGCCTCTTTATTTGGGCTTTTCTGTTGAAGGCTTAGCCCCATTCCCGAAAATAGAATAATCAAATAAAGCCCGCGCATGTATCAATGTATACGGAATGAAGAGAAGTGCCCAAACAGGTCGTAAATGGCACAGAACCGTTCAGAAGCATTGGGAACTGCTTGTCAATATTGGATTTGTACATGGTCCAAAAGGTTCCAAGTGGTTCCGGACTATATGGAGCCGTGGTACATCTTATGCTGGAAGAGTTGGCATATAGTTCTGAGAAGTTAAACTGTGTAGTTCAACACAGTCTCTGCAAAGTTCCAAAGACCTCTGACTTTGCCAACACACAGAGGCGCCCAGGCGAATCTCAAGGCACTTACTAGGCAGGTTGGCAAACTGTTGGTCCGTTTTGAGTCCGTGGTGTCTTGTGGCTTTCTCAAATATTTAGGGGACCCAAAAGGGGACAGTGCTTACAACCACAAAACATAGTCTGAACGATGAGGGTAGGGCGTGGGTTCGCAAGATTTTGGGTCTAGCTTTCCCTAAGGGTCGAAGTAATTACCTAATAATCATATGCTTACCCAAAACCTGTACTATAATTACTATCACCCAATTCCCAAGTACCTCATTTTTTAGGTACATGGACGTCTAGGTTTTGGGATTCCGTATTTTAGTTCACATAGCGCGGAGCCGAATGGCTGGAAGCAAACTGTTTGCTCCAGAGGCTTCGGTGTTGCAAATTACCTAGGGTTTAGGGGTTAGGGTTTAGGGTGTACCTTGGTTTTTATTTCGGTCAATACTTAGCAGGAGGGCAGGTGTAAATTCTGGTGCAAGATTTCTCCCCACCAACCCTTGTCTGGATTGAAGTTAGAGAGCTTTGGAATCCTCAATCTACTTTGACCCCTCACCGATCGCAACAGGGACCAAGCCAACAACCCTAGACAGGCTAGATCCAGCACCTCTCTAGCTTCATTCTTCTGGTATGTCTTGGTACACTTAGCCAACCAAGGATCTCCTGTTGTTCTGGAGTTTCTTTCCCAAAGTGATCACTGCAGGCCTCCTTTTAAAGACCCCCGCAACTCTATTCAATCCCCTCTCGTGTGTCCATGTTGAGAACGTTACATTTCACACGAGCTATCGACGTGCTCCTGTGCGAGGCGGCAGGAGTGGAACAGCATCCTCGCTTCATGCGACTTCTATGTTGCTCGCAGGCGGATCTGACCTAGCAAGACGGTACGGCTTGTGGTTTAAGAGGTGTGGTTTAGGGTTGGAGTTTGGGTTTAACGTTTTGGGGTTCAGGGTCTAAGGGTAAGATTTAGGCTTGATTTCGGGTTTGGGGTATCTGGCCGGCACGTGCATATAACGGTGGATACAACTAGATGAAGGATGACTACGACTGCGAGGGCCGTGCCATACGATATAACGACATGAAAACCCTTGTACCCTAAACTGCCCTAAACCTTTTTGCCTTGATGCAATCCGGCCACAGGTATGCGGAACTCGGGTTCGGGGCTTGCAGTTTAAATTGTCCCTGCTGCTGTCAGAGTTAGCGAGTTTCTTGTAAGCCCCCAGTCTAAACTCCTTAAAAAGGTTATACAAGGGAGTATATAGGGCAATACTATAGGGGTTATTAAGGGGGATACTAGTCGCAACAGAATAGGTGCTGTTTCCGATCACAGCAACTTGCCTGGGGGGGGGTTCGTTTCCATGGTACTTCCGCCAGCGGCTAAGGAGCAAACGCCAATGCTCCTCCAAACTAGCTTGGGACCCCGCATCGCCCCCCTTTTAGAAGGACTGTAGTCTACAAGGGGTCTTTTTTCCGGTTCCATGTGAGCTTAGGAGAGGTAAGCGAAAGGGCTAACGTTCCAGTGGAGATTTTATGCGTAGCCTGCTCAATCTGTTCAGTGCAAAGACATTGCTGCCACACATGCCAGATGTATCACAGCCTTGGATACTCGGAGTGGAATCCTGCCGCCCAGAAATACTGGCAAGACCATGGCAAAGTAGGCCTGGCACCCATTGTTTTGGGTTTGAAGGCTTTAGCTTATAATTCATGTCATGCATTTCCTTCATGGTCGGATCATCCCTACATAGCCCCGTTCGAATCACAACATAGGCATCAACATCTAGATTGTTGTTTCAAGCTCCTTGCAAACTTTGTCCGCTTTACAATGCCTGTAGAGTTGCCACATTCTCCCTTTAGACATATAGGTTGCATTCGAACCAAAAATCTGTCTGTGTTTGCAGGCAGGAGCTGTGGCAGCCTTAGCACGCACCTCTTTTGAGGGTGTAGCGCTTCGGACTTAAGGCCTTAGGATTCAGGGGTCAGAGACAAGAGCAATAGACACAGCTCTGATGAAATGCTAGCTCATTATTTGAACTACAGTATAAACTCCTTAAAGGGGGTTATACAGGGGATTATATAGGGGACTACTACAGGGGTTGTTAAGGGGGATACTAGGGCTTTAGACTATAGCTCATTTGTGGTTGGCATGCCGCGTTTCAACAGGCCCATGAGTTGACGGCTTGGATTTAAGTTTAGGGTTTAGGGTTTCGGCCAAGAGCTTCAGGGTTTTGGGTGATTCAACGCTCTCGGTAGTAATATTCATAGTAATAATAGTGGTAAGAAGAATCGGAGTAATACTAGTAACTATACTAGTACTGATAGTACTAATAGTCATAACAGTAATAATAGTAACTATGGGTCGGTTTGGTGAAGCACCGGCCTGGTTTCTAAACCATAAAAACCATATTCCAGGGTAGGCTTGAAATACTTGTTAATTCTATTATCCTTAAAAGCCTATAAGATCCTCATAAATCCATAAGACATGTATTTATCGCCACTTAATCCGTACATAATCCTTATAAAGCCAAAGGAATTAGATCTATTGCCCTTAATCCCTATATAACCTTTATAATAAACGAATGCAAAACGGATTTTATAGGGCCTTCAAACCTACTCTAGTCCTGGGGAAGTCCTCAGAAAGTACCCCCCCCCAGACTTGGTGGATTGAAGGCAAGCACACGTAGGACTCCTGCAGAAGATTGGTTAGTGTGAACGTAGTGGTCAAGATCCTGTCTTCTGTGCAGGTTTCCGTCATTCTGGAAAAGAGGCTTCGGCTGACTCCCAATTAGACCCGAAACCCCCGCAGACCCTGACATCTAAAAGCACTTTGACTTTCAAAGCCATACAATCCCATCTCCCGCGCTCAATCTGTTGTCAATTGTTGTTTCAAGCCCATGTTTCTTTTCTGAGACCATGTGTCCTTGGTGGGTGTAAGCGGGGCCCTGGTGTCGGATAAAGCAGAGATGCAGCATGGGGCACGCCATGGACCATGCGTTGTCAGTCTCGTCCCTGTAAGCCTTTGGCCCAGCAACCTTGGCACTAAGCCTAGATCTTAACCTCGAAGCTCTTGGCTGTAAGCTCGCAACCTCAAACTTGAGCCCGACACAGACCTAAACCCGGACCCTACCTGGAAAGCAGCAGCGCGCAATTATTAGCTGCCTCCTCTTTATGTCCTACAATTTTAAATTTATGTGTGTAAGAGTGGCCTACTGCTTTGGGTATCACAGGGCATTCCAGGCAGTGTAGACGCTTAAATCATTATCAAGATTTTCCTAACAATCTTTATGAAAGGATAGCGTTACATGCCAAATGGCATTCTTCAAAGAATTTAGACCCCTACATTACGACATGAGCCCAGCTTCTATTTGGCTTTGCATCTTTTTTTGGTGAACCTCCTTCATTCCAACTGAACAAGCCCCTAAACAGGTATATACATGCTTATATTATTATATATCCCTAAATACGCCTATCTACCCCTATACTTCCCTGCATGCACTCTCCTATCCCTAAACCCTAAACCCTTAGACAGGACAGGTAGAACCATAACCTCCGAGGGCTGCCTTCATGGCTGAGACCAGCATACTCAGTCAGAAGCCAGGTCGGGCCCACAGTGATTCGGGTTTTGGGTTTTGGATTTATAGTCCCCCTTAAGTAGATAGAAGATGAGGTATATGGCTTTGGGTATATTAAAACAAGATCCCCATATACCCCATATGCTATCTACTTAGGGGGGACTATAGAGTTTTGGTTTTAGGGTTTAGCTGGAAACTTGCATGAAATAGAGAGGCTTTAAAGGGAATACAGTTGTATAACAATATAGAGTTATTTATAGGGATATTGTTTAGGGTCTTCGGTGTGGGGTTGAGGGTTCTGGGTTTTGAGTATATGGAAACTGCTACACTACTCAGGGTTTGGGCCTCATAGTTGGGTTGCACTGACAAAGGAAATGGAAGCCACCAGGTTTTTGAGGGCTTGGGGTCTGGGGTGCAGGCTGAAGGGGCAGTACGGAAATGAATATACGTGGACCTAAGATAGTAAATGCAGACTAGTATAGGGATCCACTGCGCCGCTATATAATGCCACTATAATAGTTTCCATTTTATTTTCCATTATCCTTGTATGAACCTAAACCCTATATAATGCCATCATAGTAGTTTCCATTTTCTTTTCCATTATTCTCCATTAAGCACCAGCAAGCCAAATAAACCAAGGGCTGGAATAGGAATGCTGTGCTTTGATGATCCTTTGACTTAGTAAGTCTACCTTCTATCCTTAATAACCCTTATTATAAGCCCTATAACCCAGGTTACTAAGTAGACTTACTAAGTCAAGAGATCCTCCAAGTGTAGGGTGCCACCATGGATATATAGGAGTGCATTCGTGTTTAGGGTTTAGGAGATATAGGGGTTTCTCAAACTTAGGGGTACTTTTTGGGGGGTCCCTATAATTCGGATTATTAACATATTTTGGGGTCTATATTGGGGTCCCCCTATTTTGGGGATCGACTAAATATATATATATATTCCAAAACCATCATGGAACTCTACAGGGCTCTACAAAGACTGCTATTGGCCTTACAGCTGGGTTAGTATGGGGGAGGATCTTCCTTATTTGAGCTTTTGAGCACAGGATCCGGGGATTAGGGCTGAGTGGGGCTTCAACGATTGCAGAATTCAGGGTCCTTCTTACTTCTTGAGGGCTTTGAAGTTAGCATGCCGTACTGTATGGAGAGTAGCACGTGGTCGGGGTGTCAGAAATGGGCCATGAGCTCGACCACTGCCCATGGGGGAGTCCCAAACATGTCGGTCCTTTTTGGGAGAAATGCGGGCCTTCTTTCAGGACAATGCAGGGGCTTTATTTGATGAGACTGCAGTATTTTCGGGGGTCAGCTCCCTTCTTCCAAACCAGCAGACGCCTGTAGTGTTTTCCCATCCTCTTTGAAACCAGGAATAAATTTTGAACGGTAAGTAAATAGGAAATGATGCTCACTTTGGGTGGTTCCAGGGCTAGGTGTTGAGCCGAGGGCTTGAGGAAGAAATCAGGGTCTTATAGGGATGTGCAGGGTCCAGTGTTCGGGGTTTAGGCTGTTCAAGAGGCTGTTCAATCAGAAACGGAGACACGAACGAAGAGGAAAATCGGAAATGATATGAACTCTGGGTTCATGTGAGCTTTAGTCTAAACTCCTAGTATCCTCCTTAGTAACCCCTTTAAAAGTCCAACATATAATCCCCTCTATAACACCCTTTGAGGAGTTTAGACTATACCTCATTTAACGCACCGAGATTAGGAGTTGTGTTGTAATGGCCTGAAGTATCAGATTCTGGATTTGGACTATATTCTACTTGTGTTGGGATTGTAAGTTGATGGTAGCGGCATGTATTCTGTTAAACATAAACCACTACATAATCCCAGTGTTCGTTCCATGTTTCATGGCCGTGATTCTCATGTTGAGCCGAGTTTGGAGTAGAGGTTTCAGATTTTGCTGTTTGTCATGGGGCGTGACAACACAAGATTCTGGCACTTACTGGTGGTTTAGGGTTGAGGCCTATGGCGGCCGGATAGCTTTTAGTTTCGGGTTCAGACCCTAAACCTAAAACCCAAATCTAAAACCCTACACCCGAAACATCCCGAAACCCTATATAACCCATTGTAGTAGTTTCCATTTTCTTTTCCATTATCCCCATATAGCATCATCTGCAGCAGGTTCCCAAAGCGGGGAATGCTGCAGTTCTTCACAATGCCCAGACACAATGATTGTTGGGGTTGTATTGGGATAATGGAAAATAACATGGAAACTACTATATTACAATTACGTAGGGGTTTAGGGGTTTAGGCTTTGAAGGTTTAGGGGCATAGGCTTTTGGGGTAATGCCGCACGCCAGTCAACTATGGTATGTAGGACATCGTCCATCAAGGACCGTTGGGGTCTAAAATTCCACTTGAAGCCCATTTCACTCATCATCTATATACATGCACTCCTGTCCACAGCGCTTACTGATTATGGCAGTTGCGATCAGTCCAATGACTGCTGTGTGGCCTTACTACTTCTTATCTAGACACATATATCTAGATATTTATATGTGGAATATTTAATGTTGGTGGATGGAGGGGTGTTTAACATGGGTGTCAGTTGGAATTTTGAATGCTGCTACATCGCCACTCTCTTGCGGTGCTCCTGTCTGAAGCTCCATGCACCTCAAACACAAACCCTGTAAACCTCCATGACCAATTCCTTCAGGCTCTGGCCAACACACGACTGTGCTTCCCAAGGGCGGCCTGTCCCAGTTTAAGGGTTTAGGGGCCTGGGAGGATGAAGGTTTAGGGCCAAAGCGCATAGGATGTAGGATTTGCACCCTCTGTAGGGCGGAATGGAGCTCTACAGTGGCCCCCCACACTGGGGCACCACTTAGTGGGTTAATGTGTTCAGCTCTTTGCACAGCACCAGGGCTGAGTTTCAGGAAGCTAGGAGTTATGGAATAATTACCAACCTCACCTAAAGGAACCCCCCCCCGTGAGGGCTCATACTGGTCTCCAATAGTGGGGTGTCCCCAAAAAGGGGGTTGCTGAAGGGCGGCTGCGATAATTATTCCCATGAAGGGGGACTCAAGGCACAGGATATGGATGGCCAGGACTAATTTGCGCTTACGGATTGTGGATCAAGTTCAACTTCATTGTTCAACATACTCGAAGCACATACCTTAACTGTGCAAAGACGACGCGCCCGGTCAGAACTTGTCGAACTTTGATGTTTTTGGCTACAAGCAGATGCAGGTACCCATTTGCTCACAACGCAGGGCATGAGGAATTGTTATTTACGAAGGGAACCTTCAGCAGGATTCTTGGACTCCAATGTCAATCTTTTAGATTGGTCTTTATAGCCGGTAGGGCACTCGAATTTGTTGCGTTGGGCTTCTTGGCATGTCAGAGGTAGATTTTGAAAGATTCCTCAAGACAGAACATGATGTGGTTTTACTTGACTGGTGGATGGCGATGGACTTCGTGCTCGCAATGCTGTTTCGCGGCTCGAGTTCGAACGCTGTGTTCATATGTTGGCTTCCCTCGGCTTTTAACTTACGGTTTTCAACTTAATTTGCCAGCTGACGAGTGTTGTGAAAGAAGCCCCTTGCAATCCTTTGAAGCAAGAAGGGGAACATTACAGAAGAGAGTGCGCAAGGTCAACGATGATGGCTAGTCCTGACCCTTTAGGGATCCAAGTATACAGATAGTACCTACACTGGGCGCCAAAGTCTGTAAATATTATCTACATTGGGCCATTTGGATCTCTAGGG